CCATGATAACAATGCTTTGATTCAAACCGCCAAAGAAGATGTGAAGATCAATTATATGAGAATTGAGGGGATGGTTCCATATGTGATATTATCGGATACTAAGAAGATTGAGTTGCTCAATTTCATCCAGAAAGATCCTGCAACATCGATGAGCTTCAGATCATGGGAATTATATGAGTATCCAATGCTTCCAGCGATGACAAAACACGTGTGGACGGTGAAAACCGCAACCCAGCTTGAGAAAGCTGGGTCGTTTTGTTATTGTAGGCTTCCACACAGATCGTAAAAATAGAAATAAGAAAAATGCTAGAAATTTTGATCATTGTAGTATCATCGATGTGAAATTATTCCTAAATTCCCAACGTTATCCATATGGAAATTTGGATGTAGACATGACTAAAAATCAGTATTCGATACTATATGACATGTATTCAAACTTTCAATCATCATATTATGATCAACAAGCGAATAATCCATTATTGACAAAAGCACAATTTGCACCGATTACACCCCTGGTAGTCATCGATTGCTCTAAACAAGATGAATCCTTGAAATTTGGACCTTTGGATGTCCACCTGGAGTTTGAAACAAAAATAAGTTTTTCTCCGGAAACAGCTGCTTATTGTCTCATTTTGCACGATCGAGTAGTACATTACAACCCGATAAGCGGAGGAGGGGCGAGAGGGGTATAAATTCTCATGACAATAGAGATATTTCATCAGTTGCGATGGAGGTGCTCGTGGACGTACCAGGTTTCCAAACGCTCTCCAACGAGTTCATCGTTAAGGAATTCGGATACATAGTTTTGGATTTCATAGTTATAGTTATGAAGAAAAAAAGAATAGTACGATCAGTAGATCGATCCTTCAATATTTACTACAAATTGAACAATTTAAATTTGATGGATTGTGAAGATATTGCATATCTGCCACATTCATTTATAAGTTTCGTCGCTGCATGCCATGTTGATCAGTGTTGGGGCAAGTTGACTGATGCTATGAGAGCTGATTGGCACATTAAAAGATGTAGACGTTGTTTGGAACACTATCAAACTGTCGAGGGTGATTCTTTTGATGGACCATCACCTATGATAAGGGATTGTGTTAAATGTAAACATTCTTAAGAAAAAACAACAAAATATGTTTAATTATTATATTTATTCGTGTATTTTTTATATACTATTATATTAGTTATAATCATAACAAAATCATTGTGTAAAAAAAAAATTGCCAATAAAGAAAAAAATGAAAATATTGTTCTATTTAATTTGTAAGTTAAGCAACAATCTCCTCATCCTCTGCATGGAATGTGATTTCGTTGTATTCACCACCCAAA